TTTTGTCTAAGACCTGTTGTTGTTGTTTGGCAGTCTAGTTTCCATTAGGGATTGTAAGGAGGAAGTTGTCTCATTGAGGCTGCATTGGCCACAGTTTCTAACTCACCATTTTCTTTTGCAAAGGTCTGATCCACCAGTGTGTAGCTTTTGTGGCACTCAATCACAATTGCCCATATTTTACTTTTGTTTCATCACTGCAGTTGCTGGCAGTGGCTTGAATGAGATTTGACTTTGAATGGTGTCATTGACATTGATGGCACTGTTCAGGTTGATAGTGTCTTTGGCTTTTTGCAGGCCATTGGCCTTTTTATTCTGAAAGTGAAATGTTGGTTATTTGCTACATTTTCCCCATGTTTTACATTCATTTTTGATTGTACTTGTCAACTAAAATAAAAAACAAATGCCTGGCACAGATAGGATTAGTACTTTGTGCCATAAAGCCTTATTACCCACCCACTCACTCAAGGGGGGTTTCCATGTTTTGCTTACTTTTATGTTGACTGAGTGTTACCATTTAGGTGAATGTAAGAAGCTTCTTTATCTTTCTTTTTCTCATATGTGTGCTTATACCCTATTATTTTAGTGTTATTCCAGTTTATCTTGGGGTCGTCTTCTCTGGCATGATGGAGCTATTGCAGAGATCAGTATTATCAGTTCTTGTGTATTTGTTATGCTTCTGAATTCTAACTTAAAAACAAATATATTTGTCCCCAGTAGCTAGATGTGATGAATTGAAATGAAAGTTGTGTGTACTGGAAAAAAAAGCCTCAACTGATGGAATTTAATGACTACAGAAAACTATAGTGACCAACTAAATACTTTTTGAACAAAGTATCTAGCAATGTTGCATCTTTTAACTGCACTGATCAAGTAATTTCTCAAATAATACCATCACACTCATGTATTAATTCTGTAACTTTTGTAGTTGCAAGAATTGGTTTATATTCTACAAATAGATTAGTGTTCAGACATTTACAGTGCTTTGTTACTTACAGTTAATAGTATTGAGTTACTCTCCAAGATTTCCAATTTAATTTTTGGGTTTCTATGTTAATTTACAGTCTCAAAGATTGGACAATAAAATATACTTGAAGGTTGTAGTTTCACTTATTGAGGGGAAAATTACAAGGATATTTACATCTTAAGTGGCAATTATATATCTATATACATTAAAACACAACCAAAAAATCTACTGTAAATGGGTGATAAAATCAGGTTCATAAGACAGTGACAAAGATTGAAATAATAGTTAGATATGTTAATTCCTGAGAATCGCAAAAAGGTAAATACAAAAATGTTTTGGAAATAGTTTTCCATCATTATTTACAATACACATGTGAAGAACTACTAGGCTTAAAGCATAAGTTGAGTAAGGGTGTAAGTTGTCCTTAAATCCACAGGATTTCATTACCTATGGCCATATGTGAGTATGGCAGGAACCTTTGTTCCAAATCATTGTAAAGGTAGTACAGTATAAATAGAAAATAGATTTGATTAAAACTATATAAAAGTACCTTATATAGTATCATATGTAAATTTGCAGTCATTCATTGGAAATACGTTGAGTACCTATATAGTTAGTTATGGCAAATTCCAATTCATTCAAAGTGCACTGCTGCCACAGGTAGACTTATATCTGTAGATTATGTTACATTCCTTTCTAAGAAAGGTAATTTGTATAATGAGATGGTTAAAAGACATAGACCCAGAGGACGCAACATTTCAAAAAAGAGACAATCAGTATTCTTCAAGGAAGTGGAAAACTTCACACAGCAGAGAACTTATGATAACAATGGGTTCTGAAACCACACTCCTAAAATAAAACCCTTAACTACAAAGTGAAGGTTTTCATTATGAAAGATAATGTTCTGACCCAAAAAGCCAATACAGTGAAGCTTGACATATCTCATGATACCAATAATAAGATAAACATTTGAAGTTAACAAGGGCTCAAAAGATAATAGTTCACAAGCTTATAACCAAATTTTGAAATCAGTAGTTGTTTGCATGAGAATAATGTTTAAAGAAACAAATAACTGTATGGCAGTAAAATACGTCCATCACATACCTGCTAATTCCCTTGACGTAGGTCCATTGAACCTTTGTTCTTTCAGTCTGTTTAAACATGGTCTTGAAAAGTGGCATCTGCATATCGTAGAAAGTGTGTGGAATTCTAGTCAAAATGCATTATTGAAGATTGATCTTACTATCATTTGCAGAAGCTTGTTACAATAGAAACTGTCATAGTTCTTAAAAGTGTGATTACATTCAGAATTTACATTAACGAGCACTTTTTTTATGTATTTGCTTTTTAATACAATTTTCAATATCTCCAAATTTCAAGAATTTTATTAAGACACAAAACTGTTATCAGCAGTTATGTCGTAGGTCTTCTTAACCCCTTATCTACTTTGGCCATTTTGTCTTATTGTGAGGGCAAAATCACATTTTTAAGTTGAAAAAATTATAGAAAACTTATCTTTTATTGGATTTCAGATTTTATTTTTGTAAATAGTAGCATAACATTCAATTATTTGTATTAAAATTGTATTGTTTAATGAAGTTTAAAGAGAAATTTAATAAAAAAAAGTCCCAAAATACGTTTGAGACTATAAATAAGCGCTCTAAGAAGAAAATTTGTTTCATATTTTTCCTTGCACTTTAGTGCTGGTCCTGCCATTTTTGATTGGTATCTAAACCTTTTTCTAGTCTGTTTACTTTATAAAACAATGTCTGGGCATGTTAAACGTCACTTGTACAACTTTTAGCCAATCCTAGTCGAAGATGTCAATTTCAGTACCATGTTATTCCAGTTGCTGTATTCCACGTTTGACAAATCATAGGATGATAAGCAAAGGACATGATGAAACGTTGTTCTCTGGATTTTGCAATATGAATGTGGGTGGTGCTTATTATAGTAACTGCCATTTTATGTAGAGGTTGTATTTAGTAGTGGTCAGTAGTACTTTTTTATAAGCCTTAGAAAAGTTGCTTCTGGAAAAAACTGCATGAGATGTATGTGACTTTTATTATTTTTCTATAGTAGCTTAAATCATGCTGTATTGTATATCTATTTATATTAATCATTATATTGAAAAATTAACTCAAAATATATATATTTCTTATGAAAGAAGTTGATCCACGAATGTTAGGGTTAAGAGCTATCAAGTGGCGAGTGCAAGGTCTTTACGTGAATTAGGCTTAGCACTTTGAACTGAAAGAGTTTGTGATTTTTTATATTCTTTTGCATTTAAATTAGTAGTTTTAAGTTCAATAATTTAGCATAATTTTATATTTAGTTCATAATAATAATGATATGATTCAGTATTTAGAATGAT